GTCTTGCCAGACTCTAGGGTTGTGCGCCCATCTCACTCTATAGGCCGGGGGCCAGCGCTGTCCGGAGACACTTCCGGGTCACGTGGCCAGCGTGACATCGCTGCTCTGGCGAGCCAGAGCCGCACACAGAAACGCCGTTTACCTTCCCGCTTGTAAGCGGTCCCTATTTATCTACTTGCACCCGGGGGTGCTTTCGAACTGCTAGGTTGGCAGGCGCTGGGACCGAACGACGGGAGCGCACCCTGCCGCGGGGATTCGAACCGCCGACCTTTCGATCGGCAAGCCCTAGGCGCTGAGGCTTTTACCCACAGCGCCACCCGCGTCCCGTTTCCCTAAATAGGAATGCATAAAATAAGGTGACTTGCGTTATCTTAAAAACTACAAAAAAAAACCTGTGGACTTCTGTTTCACAAACAAAATATTATGCAGAGCTTGGTAAACAAAAAGAAAATACATTGACCATGTGCATTTTCTCATTTTAACTCTTATTCTTTTTGCTCACCTTGGGTCACTCACCAACTCTGAGCTTAGCCCACCCCGCATGGCTGTTGAGAAGAAGGAGGTATAAAATGACTGCAAGTGAAGACTTTGTGCTTGTATCAGAAGCATCCAATTGGGGCGCCTTTAACCACAGTGATACATCTCTGCAGTATAAACAGCCATGCCCCTCTGCCCCCTACAGATTAAAACAGCCCTAAAGCTTCATCGCCGAAGAATGGATGCTTTTGAATTATGGTGCTGGAGGAGACTCTTGAGAGTCCCATGGACTGCAAGAAGATCAAACGCATCCATTCTTAAGGAAATCAGCCCTGAGTGCTCACTGGAAGGACAGGTCGTGAAGCTGAGGCTCCAGTACTTTGGCCACCTCATGAGAAGAGAAGACTCCCTGGAAAAGACCCTGATGTTGGGAAAGATGGAGGGCACAAGGAGAAGGGGACGACAGAGGATGAGATGGTTGGACAGTGTTCTCGAAGCTACCAGCATGAGTTTGACCAAACTGCGGGAGGCAGTGGAAGACAGGAGGGCCTGGCGTGCTCTGGTCCATGGGGTCACGAAGAGTCGGACACGACTAAACGACTAAACAACAACAACAACAAAGCTTCATCCAATCTTAATCTGGGCTGGTTACTGCAAGTTTTAGATGCATAAGTCCCATTCAGCTGAGCTTACTTCCAGGCCTGTAGTCACTGGGGCTGTGGAAAGCCAAGTGATCCACTTTCATTCTTAAAATGAAAGTGGTGACTCCCCGCTTGTGGAACGCTCTCCCCAGGAAGGCTTGCCTGGTTCCTTCATTACATATCTTTAGGTGCCAGGCAAAAACATTCTCCTTCTCCCAGGCCTTTGGCTAATTAAACACTCCACGACCTATTAAACTGGGGTGGGTGGGTGCAATTGTTTTTGTTTGTTATTATGGTATGCATTTTTGTGTTTTTATATTGTAAACTGCCATTTAATCTTCGAATGAATGGTGCTGTGGAAATGTAACAAATTTTAAAATGATAAAGCAGTGGGATTTTTTAAAATAAAAAAATTACAGGTAAAATAGTAAGGAAAAGCATACAGGCTGAATTCATAAAAGCACCGTATGAGGCTAAGTTTAGGATAAGCACAGTAACAACCTTGTGAGCCTATAATAATAATAATAATAATAATAATAATAATAATAATAATTTATTATTTGTACCCCGCCCATCTGGCTGGGTTTCCCCAGCCACTCTGGGCGGCTTCCAACAAAGATGAAAGATACACTAAAATTTCACATATTAAAAACTTCCCTGAACAGGGCTGCCTATAAGGGGTGTTTTTTGTCTTTTTTCATACGGGTGTATCTTAACAATTGTTTTTCTTTTCACATCTTATTTTACCTTGGGCACTTATGATTTTATCCTGGGTACAAAAATTGTTTTAATTTTTTTAATCAGTACAGGTCGTACTTTCCCTAATTTTTCCAGCAAAAGCACTGTCCTGCCCAAACTGCAAAGCCAGCGAGAAAACTCATAGGATGTTGTAATATATTGTTTATTTTATTAATAATAATTTAATTGTGTTTAAGCTTATCAGATTATTCTATATCTGTCTATATTTAAGTAGTCCTTCTTTTGCACCAGTATGTACCTGGGAGTTAGACCCATTAAAAACAAAGAGATTTACATCTGAGTAGACATGTACATCATTGTACTGTACATTGACTATACCATGAATTCTTCAGTTCCCGCAGAGCAGGAGATATGCCTAAGTCTCTTTGCAAATTGTTTGTATTTTCCATTTGCCGGGTGTGTGTGCGTGTTCTTTAACACCTACCCAGCCTAACACCTATTAGGCTGTAGCATTTGCAGAGAATAGCTTCTAGGGAGAACCTAAGCTTAGATTATCCCCCCACAAGAAAGATGTATTGAAGTTCCTAGAAAGAAAAGAAGGGCAAACAATGGAGGTTCCAAGGACTAGAAAATGAGGGAGAAGCAGGAAAGAAAAGTGTGTTAAAGGAGAGGGGTAAATATGAGCTCTTTAGGACCCCAGGGATTTAGCCTGGCATCTAAGTACAACTCTGACTTCACTCATAGGCTAAAAATACTGAAAAGTGGAAGCAGCGAGAGGCAGGCTCGTTTCACAGAAATCGCTGAGATGATTGCCTGCACATTTTGTGTTACAACTTTTTTTCCAGGAGGGCTAGAAACTTCCAAAAGAAAAGAAAAGAAAACTCTGCATCTTGCTGGCAGGCAGTGTGGAGAGTCGATCTGATGTAGTGGGATAAAGGTAAAGGTAAAGGGACCCCTGACCATTAGGTCCAATCGTGACCGACTCTGGGGTTGCGTGCTCATCTCGCTCTATAGGCCGAGGGAGCCGGCGTACAGTTTCCAGGTCATGTGGCCAGCATGACTAAGCCGCTTCTGGCGAACCAGAGCAGCACACGGAAACGCCGTTTACCTTCCTGCCGGAGCGGTACCTATTTATCTACTTGCACTTTGAGGTGCTTTCGAACTGCTAGGTTGGCAGGAGCAGGGACCAGGCAATGGGAGCTCACCCCGTCACGGGGATTCGAACCGCCGACCTTCAGATCGGCAAGCCCTAGGCTCTGTGGTTTAACCCACAGCGCCACCTGCGTCCCGATGTAGTGGGATACTAGGATTCAAATTCCCCCTCAGCCAAGAAAGTAACTGAGTGACCTTGGCTGAGTTGCTGCCTCTTGGCCTAACCTATTTTACAGGGTTGCTTCCTTGGAGAAAAAGGTGGGATATAAACACAATAAGTAAATAAAATAAAAGCATATGTCGCCATAATTTTTTTACAATTCTCTATATGTCTCAATGAGTTTGATGTGGTTTGAGGTAAATAAACATTGAATTGTAGCCTGGCAGTATAAGCCTCTACAGAGTGGCTGGGGCAACCCAGCCAGATGGACAGGGTATAATTATTATTATTATTATTATTATTATTATTATTATTATTATTACTTAGAAGTAAGTCCCATTAAGCCCAATGGAGTTTGCTTTCAGGTGTTTTCTCTGACCTGGCAACAAGTTCCATTGAATTCTATGGGACTTAGTAGACATACAGTTGTGCTATTAATCTCTCAGGAGTTCATGCAGCCCTTCAAAATTGATTAGAACAACAACAGCACAACGGTTTATATTGTGCTTTTTGAACGTTTGAAGCACATTGTACGCTCATTCATTTATCTTTGCAACAACCACGTAATTCCAGTGTTTTCTGTTCTGCATTGCAGAAGGGGAACCAACGATTGCTGAGCATCGATCACAAATCACACCCTCAGCATCACCACCAGCTCCTATGGTAACAATCCTGTCACCAGCAATTGCTTTGCCCACATCCATTTTTTCTTCTCAGTTCTTTTTTAGTTAAAATTTTCATCTGGATGGTATCGTTTCACACATGACTATCAAGCTTAAGCCAAGGGTTTTCACTGTGTTTATAAGCACAGAGTTCTCTCCATATCATTGATGCACATGAGTGCGCATATCAGTTCATGCCAACAAACACTGAGCATATACCAGCTGGAAACAAACGGAGACCATCTACATTTTCAGGAAGCGTTATTGGTACCTGGCAACATGGACTGGCATGTGGAGATCAGCGTTTGATGGAATAGTATAGGCAAAAGTCACCATTGCCTAGTGAAAGGCTATGAATTAGTTGTGGTGCTGCGCATAAAAACATACCCTTCCGGAAAGAAATGAAATGATATCTCTACCTTGTTCTGAAAGCTTCCCAAAAATCACATTCGTCAGTGTGCAAAGCCTAAAGGGACCCCTGACCGTTAGGTCCAGTCGCGGGCGACTTAAAGGCAGAGACACCAGAGAAGCTAATCTGTAGAAGATCACATAGATCAAATACATTGCACAACTTAATTCTTTCATTTTGGGCTTGCAAACCATGAGCTAAAGAGATTGGCAAAAAGAGGAGTATATTCCCCCCCCCCCGTTTTTCAATTCTGAATGCATGTTTTATTTGTAGGGTGCCAAAAAACAACAGCTGTCTCTCTCTCTCTCCTTAAAAATGATTCTGACATTCCTAGACCTTCTCTTACCCGGCCCTGAAAGCCAGGTTTTGTTTCTTGTCTTAAATATTGCTAGGGGGTTGGGTATAGAAAGTGGATCTTTCCAGAATCACCCTTTTGCTGCCTTTGATTAGAAATTCAGGATGAGCCACCTTGGTGCGAGTCCAAGGCTCCATCTAGAAACCGGGAGGGGAGTTTGTGCCTTGGCTCCGGGAATGAAATCGGCTGGCTTGGCCTCCTAACGAGAATTCAGCTGGTCGTGAAAGACTTTCCGGGCCAGACAAGTTGTTGTGGTGGTGCTGGTGGTGGTGGGGAATCATCCCTAATCTATGACTAATCCAATATGCAAAGCACCTGCGAATCCTGGTCCAAAACTGGAGCTTAAGGGATGGTAAGAGAATGGGAATGAGAGGGGCAGAGCAAAGGGGGGAGAAAGAAAAAAGAAATAATAAAAAAGGGAGGATGAACCCCTCCCTCCCCCTACCTTCGTCACGTTTCCTCTTCTCTCCATTCGACCGAGGAATCCCCAGAATCCCATTAATGGAGTAGGATCCCACCGGATCATTGGAGGCACTGGAGACGGGAGGGGAGGCTGTACTGGGAACTGGACAAAATGAAAAGGGAGAGAGGCCCATGAGGAGAGCAGAAGGTAGAAAGCTACAGGAGCACACCCTAGCCTCTCCAGAGGTAGCCCTGCTCACCCCACTAAGGGAGACCCCACCCCTTCGCAAAAAAATGCCTTGCAGTAGTCAACATAGCTCGTAAATCCTTTGCAAAACACTTATTTCTGTCACACAACCTATCTCGGGATGTTCAAGGCTGGCTAGAATTTTCCTGGTTACGCCGGAAACCCCAGCTCTACAATCGAATTCGCCTACAGTGGTACCTCGGGTTACAGACGCTTCAGGTTACAGGCTCCCCTAACCCAGAAATATTACCTCGGGTTAAGAACTTTGCTTCAGGATGAGAACAGAAATCGCACAGTGGCAGCAGGAGGCCCCATTAGCTAAAGTGGTGCTTCAGGTTAAGAACGGACCTTCGGAACGAATTAAGTACTTAACCCGAGGTACCACTGTATGTCTATTTTGGTTTGTGTTTTACAAGACTCCGTTGTGCGTAGGACTTATTTACTTATTTTCAGAATGGAAATGTGTATAATGCATTTTTAATAATAATAAAAATCAAAGCACTGTACAACACACACACACACACACACACACACACACACACACACACAATCTCCTATAAAAAACCAAAATCATAGATCACAGTCTAACTGCAAAAAGAATACAGTATATTTTTCCCTCTCTCTCTTTAATTGTCTGCAGAAGCCTAGCAGATTAGAAAAGTTTTCAGAAAAATGCATAAAAATTGAAGATGCCTCCTGAATCTCTGTTGGAAGAGCATTCCACAAGACTAGACATGGTGGGTTGGCCGGTGAAAGAGAGAGAATGAATATTCAGATCCGATAAGGAAGATTAGAATTTTGCAACATGACAGTAACTTTTAAAGGAGCGTGGTGGAGTCTCCTTCTTTGGAGGTCTTTAAGCAGAGGCTTGACAACCATATGTCAGGAGTGCTCTGATGGTTTCCTGCTTGGCAGGGGGTTGGACTCGAAGGCCCTTGTGGTCTATTCCAACTCTATGATTCTATGAACCTGCAGCTGCAGCTCACACAACCAGTGCTTGAGTTACAGAAGGTACACTTGAGGGTTGGGCAGCCCTCTTAACTTTTGTGATGGTGCCCTTGGCAACCGTGTCTAAAAGGTATATATGATTTAGTTAAAATTAGGGACTAGGGGACTTGGTTTGTGGATTCCGTTAAAGGACTCTCCAGCTTCCTGACACCCCTCCCCATAATTAAAGCCCTATTTATGGCCCATTGTCATCCTGCTTGCCTTCTAAAGTGTATCCTTGCTTATGCTGTTGGATACTAGAACTGTAGCAAACTAGATGCCAGACTCATGGTCCATAGAGGGCGGGGACTGTCCAAGCCATTAATGAGCATCGTCCTGCATTTGAGGGGATGTCTGAGCTAGAGAAGAGGGACGCAGGTGGCGCTGTGGGTTAAACCACAGAGCCTAGGACATGCCAATCAGGTTGGCGGTTCGAATCCCCGTGGCGGGGTGAGCTCCCGTTGCTTGGTCCCTGCTCCTGCCAACCTAGCAGTTCGAAAGCACGTCAAAGTGCAAGTAGATAAATAGGTACCGCTCCAGCGGGAAGGTAAACGGTGTTTCCGTGTGCTGTTCTGGTTCACCAGAAGTGGCTTAGTCATGCTGGCCACATGACCCGGAAGCTGTCTGCGGACAAACGCCGGCTCCCTCGGCCAATAAAGCGAGATGAGCGCCGCAACCCAAGAGTCGGTCACGACTAGACCTAATGGTCAGGGGTCCCTTTACCTTTACCTTTACTGAGCTAGAGAACAGTCTTCCTGCATTTGAAGACATCTTCCATTTGCAGGCCTGTCCAGCCTGGGTACCATTTAATGATGGAGAACTATTGGAAGGGAGAGCAGGGTAGCACGAAAGTTGCCCCTTGGCAGTTAGTGCCCGGAGAGCAGAGGAAGCAGGCATCCAGATCACCTGGTCCCAATCTTCCTCACTATTTAAATTATAGCAATCCTTCCAAATTTGCATCAATTAGCGCGTGCAAATGTTATGCAAAGTGCCTGTGCCGCCACAAGCTCACCTTTCCCATCCTCAGAGCAGCTTTGCAACTCTTTTAAATCAGATTTCACGTTACAAAAATAAGGCATATTAATGCTTAGGGGAGTTTGAGTTTACTGCAGGGCAATTGTTGGCCCAACCTGTCGTGTCAAAGTTAAAATCATTTTTGAATGACAGTTAAAGAAAGAAACTCTTCTAAGTTCACCAGTTGTGTTTCTTAGCCACTGAAATATCTCACCCAAGCCCTCCTGCTTGCTATATTTTTTAGCAGTAAATGAACACCATACTTTTGAACATAGTTTTCTGTGAACGCGAGAGCTGGGAAGTTCCTTGTTTAAAACACACACATGCCAGCGGCGTGTGGTTAGTGGACTATGGGGACTAAGTTAATCCCCTAAATGTTCCCGGTAAATCAGAGTATTAAAGTATTAAAGCCTGCTGCCTCCTTCCCAAAGACCAGGAAGTTTCTGCTCGTCTGTGGGGGGGGGGCACATTGCTCAGATGGGGCCAAGACCCTCTTGCCACTTTCCCAAAGCCCACCCAGCTTTTGAAAGGAGTACGAAGGCTCCAGCATCCCTTTAGAGGCCTGACACCTCCTTCCCAAAGTCCAGGAAGCTTCTGCCTGGCTTAGGGAGGGAGGCACGATGCTCACACACACGACGTTGCAGTGTTGCCCCCCCCCCACAATCCCCCTCACAAGCTGGTGCCTCTGACCCTAACTTTCTCCTATGAAAAATTTCCCCACACACCACTGACACATACCCACTATTTTTCAAGAGTCTATTACACTACAGATAAATATTAGAGTCACAGTATGGCTAGCAGTGAAAGTCGTCATGGGAATATCCCCTGCATGGGCTCGCTCCTTCCAAACAAGCCTGTAATAATAATAATTTATTATCTGTACCCCGCCCATCTGGCTGGGTTTCCCCAGCCACTCTGGGTGGCTTCCACAAAGACCAAAAATACACTAAGATGTCACACACTAAAAACTTCCCTGAACTTCCCTGAACAGGGCTGCCTTAAGATGTCTTCTGAAAGTTGTTTAGCTCTTTTGACATCTGATGGGAGGACGTTCCACAGGGCGGGCGCCACTACTACTGTACCTTGGTTCTAGAACGTAATCCGTTCCAGGAGTCCATTTGACTCCCGAAACTGTTCAAAAACCAAGGCGTGACTTCCGATTGGCTGCAGGAGCTTCCTGCACTTAAACGGAAGCCGCGGCAGACGTTCAGCTTCCGAAAAACGTTCGCAAACCAGAACTTCTGGGTTTGCAGTGTTTGGGAGCCGATTTGTTTGACAACTAAGCCGTTTGTGAACCAAGATACCACTGCAATTGGTTACTGGAGCTCACTGTTGCTGATAAGTGTCACCCAGTTAAACAACACAATTCCCACATGACTGTACAACTAACCAGCTAAATCCCATTTTCCTTCCAGGGTATGTATCTGCATCCCAACACAAGTTAAACAAGTCTCATTAGGAGGAGGAGCCTGTCCTGTTTCAGCACCTGAGGCGAAACGGGAATGTGCAGCCATCTCCCCACATCGCTGTGGCCCACTTTCGCCAGCAACTGAACACTGCAAACCCGTTGCCAAACTCAGGCAATAATAACCTTAGTCTATTCCGCCTGCCTTTCCTCTCTGTGACATCAGGGCACCACGGCCAATCACTGCCAGGCGTCTCATCACCATTGCCACCACCACTATAAAATCCCTCGCTGCTGTGGTTTGAAAATTTCCTGCCCCTGGGGAACCCCTCCTTCCTCAGTTTATCAGCCAAGGAAACCCTAAGCTAGCCACAGAATCTCTGCACATTTTAGGGGTTCTGGGACACAGAGTAATCTCGGTCTGCAAGGAGTACCCCAGAAGGGGTACTGTTTAAGCAGATATGCAGACACCACTAAGATCTTAAGCAGGAATTAGAAAGCCATTCCTGCAACACTCCCCACACCAAGAGAATGTACTGGAACACATTGCTCAGGAACATCTTAATGTGCAACCAACAAAATACACAATATCCTCTTGCTGTGCATTCTGGGACAAGACTGGTGATGGCAGGTTTTGAGCAACTAACCTCCCCTTACTAAATTTCTGATCAAGGAATTCCTGATAAGCTTTCTAATAAGCGCCTTTAATTGATAGACTGGCTTTCTGCTTGTTATTCTATCTGTTAATAAATTATAATTAGACAAAGTCACAAGTTGCATTGCGGTCACCTGCCACCTTTTGCAAAGGCGACCGATTCCCATACCTTAACCATAGAAAATTTAACCATCTAGTAAGCAAAATGACTATTGCCAGAAAGAAAATATATCTTTAAGGCGCTTTTAGAAATCAATCTGGGGAAAATATGAACTATTCCCAGTTACATCAACAGAACAGTTTAAAACGACTACAAAACTGTCAGTATCAGGATCCAAATATATAAATTAGGGTTGCAATAATTAACCAATTCATTTGCTAGACTAATTTATACCATAATTTATATATATCAATCACTATTTTTAACATCAGTATGTACAAAGACTGCAGGTGGAGAAGTAGCAAGAACCTAACTTCAGAAGAACCAGAAATTCAGCAGGTGGAGGGAACAAGCTTATTCATCCAAGAGGTATAAATCCCAACCTCTTTTGAACAATTAGCTCTTCATCAGGGGCCTGACAGAAAAAGAAATAGGCTACATCTATTACAGTTTCTTAGATGACTAGCTCCAAAATGAGCCACTGACATACGGACTCCCTCCGTGGCAGCTGAGCCTGCAATAGATTTGAGCTAATCCTGATTCTGACAGTCCCCTAGAGAAGAGCTAATTGCATTTAAAGAAACGTTGGAATCTATACCACTTACTCGGACTAATAAAGGTGTCTCCTTGCACCTGTTGGGTTCCTGCTCGTTTCGCGCTGCCCTTTGGTGTGAGCTAGAGGTGTAGATAGGGACGCGGGTGGCGTTGTGGGTTAAACCACAGAGCCTAGGACTTGCTGATCAGAAGGTCGGCGGTTCGAATCCCCGGGACGGGGTGAGTGCTCAATCCCTGCTCCTGCCCACCTAGCAGTTCAAAAGCACGTCAAAGTGCAAGTAGATAAATAGGTACTGCTCCGACGGGAAGGTAAACAGCATTTCCGTGCGCTGCTCTGGTTCGCCAGAAGCAGCTTAGTCATGCTGGCCACATGACCCAGAAGCTGTAAGCTGGCTCCCTTGGCCAATAAAGCGAGATGAGCACTGCAACCCCAGAGTCAGTCACGACTGGACCTAATGGTCAGGGGTCCCTTTACCTTTAGACTTACTAAAATGTGTAAGTCCAAATCAGATAAGTGCTGGAGATGTAATGAGATTGAGGGTACGTTTATCATATGTGGTGGACTTGTAAAAGGGTAAAAGAGAACTGGGAAATGATCTACAATGAATTGAAAAAATGTTTAAAAGGACCTTTCCAAAAAACCCCACAAAAAAACCAACCCGGATTCCTTTTTGTTGGGAATCATTCAGAGGGAAATTCCCAGCTGTCAAAAAAGACTATTTATGTATGCTACTACTGCGGCCTGTGTTTTGTTAGCCCAAAAATGGAAAACGAATGAAGGTCCCAACCAAATAAGAATGGCAACTTAAAATGATGGAATTCACGCAACTTGCAGATTTAACATATAGAATAAGACAGCAAGAAGAATGTACATTTAAAGAAGGCTGGAAAATGTTTACTGAATATATGGAGTGAAAATTGTGTTCATTTCAAAACGCTGGAAGCATTAAGATAAATTCAACAGTGCAAATAAATTTTGATGGATGTAACAATGGTTTACTGAATGGTTTAGTTCATGTAAGTATGCAGGGATGTATGGTATGCAAAATGAACCAAGGAAAGAGAAGAAGGGAAGTCATTGATTTAAGGTTGTTTAAATGAGTATTTTGAAATGTAAATTAGAAAATTTAATTAAAAATTATACACAGTATTATATATATTTTTATAGAAAACTTGCAATCTTGGTATTAGCAATGCACTCTAACCAACTGAGCTATCCAGTACCAAGCTGTTGAGGGGGCCGGTGACACCTTGTGCCCCCCTCCAAGTTGGCGCACCTGAACATGCTTGCGCCATTTATTTATTTAAAAGAAGTAGTAGTATTTTTACGCAGAACGTCTTTTTCATTCATGCAGATTAATTTATGAAAATTTCATTGCTTAAAACTGATCAAATAAATAGAATACGCCGAGTCTCTGTGGAGGTGTTGTCAGCAGAGCACATGTGTTCTGACCAAAAGTTGAAATGTTGATTTTACTCATGGTTTTAAGCACTCCTTATTCTTCTTCACTGTTTCCCATGCTTCAGAAACTGAATCTCCCCACCTTCTTTTTTAGAGGCCAAAGAACGGGGAATTCCACCTCAAAACACCTGGCGTGGAAGTAACCCGAGATGTAACAGATTAATGTGCTGGATTAATCAACTGACGCTGATTAATATAAACCGCCCCTTGATGAACTTGTGAGGCGGGAAAGAAGCGGTGACTTTGGGATAGCAAGGCTACTCAGGTGCACCTTTTATCTCCTCTTGCCCCAAATACGGGTCAAACAACAACTCCCCCCCCCCCAATGCTCACATGGCAATAGATCGCAGCTTGAAATTGCTGCCTGCACCCCCAGCAAACTGGACTGTGGAGAAAGCACTGGCACATGGAAGCACTGAACAACCACGTGTGTCCTTGGTAGCTAACACCAGAGGAGATCATGGTGCTATCACCACCTTGTGAGCCAGAAGGCTCCTTCAGACAGAAGCTGGGGCTATCACTTGTTTATGAGAAAGGACCTGCTTCAGTCTCATGAGCATGGAGGTGGAGGAGAAAATGGCGGCAGCTTGGAAAGTCACCTATAATAGATTAAAGAAGGGGAAAACCAAGGAACGCTGCAGTTTCTTTTGGAATCTAGGTGGGTGGGAAAGGAGCCCTGATAAGAACACCAACCCCCACATCCTGAGGCCTTGGACAACAAGTAGGGATGGTCATGAAATATTTATTATTTTATTGATTGACTGACTGATTGTACTCTGGGAGGCTTCCAACAAAGTATAAAGGAATACACCAAAACATCAAACATTAAAAGCTTCCCAAAACAGGGCTGCCTTCAGATGTCTGTGAAAAGTCATAGGATTGTTTATCTCTTTGGCATCTGGTGGGAGGGCGTTCCACAGGGCAGGGGCCACTACCGAGAAGGCCCTCTGCCTGGTTCCCTGCAACCTCACAATGAGGGAACCACCAGAAGACTCTCAGAGCTGGACCTCAGTGCCCAGGCTGAACGATGGGAGTGGAGACGCTCCTTCAACTATACAGGGCCGAGGCCATATAGGGTTTTAAAGCTCAACACCTTGGAAAGGAGACATACTGGAACGAAGAGCCCTAGTTATACTACGGTGTGAGTGAGAAATGTATCTTTCTCCATGCTGAGGAATTATTGTAAGTGAGAGTTGCTCCCCCCTCAGTGCCCCTCAAAATCAAGTGTTCCTGTGGAACAAACAAAAATGTCTGCATATCTATGTCCAAAGTCCGTTTCCTAATCTGGCCTGCAGGTCAGTTTAAACCAGCCCCTGTGGCAGTTTAGCTCAACAACTTTGGGGTAAAATATATATTAAAAACTTCACGCCTAAAAAAGGGTCAACAACTTTGGTCGGCCCTCACGGCCCTTCACTTCATCAAATCTGGCCCCCTTTGAAAAAAGTTTGGACACCACTGTCTGTGAGGATACCCTTCTCCTCGTTGCAGTGACTATAATTTCATTTGCAAAAATTATCTTCCCACTCTGATTTTAACAACCCTTTGGAGGCACCAGGACCCCTAATTTATTATGTTGCCAGAAGGATGGGAAAGATGTTGCCTCTCCCAATTCCACATACAAAAACTGGCTGAATGCTGTTAATGGGACACTTACTGTCTACCACACGTAAGGTAGCAGGCCAAATTGGGGAGCCTCAGGAGGGCAGTGAGGCAACAGAGGGCCAGGGGCTCAGGAAGAAAAGCCACAGGGTAGCTACTGCTGCCTGTTGTCTGGTGACTGCCTCACCTTGCCTAATGGTAGGACCAGTCATGGCTGCGCATCCCCCCCCCTTTCTACTGTGGGTGTACACACCACCCCCTTTTGAGTAAATAATGCAACAGAAAGGCTATTTCTCCCCTCACCCACCCAACCTACAGGAATTGGATTGGAGTTAGTGCTACTATATTACGAATAATAAAACTGGAGAGGACTGTTTATTTATACTTCTGGGAATGCTTGCATAACTCTTTTAATGCATATACAGTCGTACCTTGGAAGTCGAACGGAATCCATTCTGGAAGTCTGTTCAACTTCCAAAATGTTTGAAAACCAAAGTGCAGCTTCCAATTGGCTGCAGGGAGCTCCTGCAGCCAATCGGAAGCTGCAGAAGCCCGGCCGGATGTTCGGCTTCCAAAAATAGTTAGTAAACCGGAACAGTCACTTCTGGTTTTTGATCGTTTGGGAGCCAAAACATTCAAGAATTAAGCTGTTCGAAAACCAAGGTATGACTGTACATTAGGTAAGGTAAAGGGACCCCTGACCATTAGGTCCAGTCGCAGACGACTCTGGGGTTGCAGCGCTCATCTCGCTTTACTGGCCGAGGGAGCCGGCGTACAGCTTCTGGTCATGTGGCCAGCATGACTAAGCCGCTTCTGGTGTATCAGAGCAGCGCACGGAAACGCTGTTTACCTTCCTGCCGGAGCGGTACCTATTTATCTACTTGCACTTTGACATGCTTTTGAACTGCTAGGTTGGCAGGAGCTGGGACCGAGCAACGGGAGCTCACCCCGTCGCAGGGATTCGAACCGCCGACCTTCTGATCGGCAAGTCCTAGGCTCTGTGGTTTAACCCACAGCGCCACCCACGTCCCTGACTGTGCGTTACTCAGGCGATAATGTGCCATGCACAGACTTGGGGAACAGTCCAGTGGCCACAGCTGGTTAGATCTTTGGAACAAAAACCTTCAAGGAGGCTGGATTGAGCTGTACCACCCCTCTATGTGGCATCTTTTTTTTTCAGTTTCCAGACCATATACAGGAAGATTTGGTTGCTTGGCACAGAAATAGAATCTGCATGCCCATTTCCTCAAAGGCTGTTCCTTCCCTGCACTGCAGTCTAGCTGCATCCCAGCTTTCAGTGTTGTGGAGGAGACGTTCTAGGAATGTGGCATTGGAGAACAGGACAGCTCCTACATTTGTCCCCTCGCCTCTTTGGCAAACTTACATTATTTGGCAGCTGATCTAATTTAAGTACCTTTCACTTCCATGAGACAAAAGTCATATCCCTGGGGAAAAGGCTATTCAATTAATTCTAGCCTCTGCTCAGTCTTCTATCGCTCCCTCGGTGTGCACACACTTATAAAACCTGCATACAGCAACACCATTTTTTGAGATGTATACATGGATATGGGGCACACTGCATTTTTGATCCTGCAGGAAATCGCTAACTGTGGTCACAAGGGATTTCTTTACACAGGTACAAGGCAGGTTTCTGAGGCGGCAGCAGCAAATTTCTCCTCCAAAAAGGAATATTTGTTTGCTGCATAGATGTGCCCCAAGCAATGGGACAGCAAAGCATATGAGGGCAGCTAATCCTTGCTAGAGGACATGCTCAATGCTCCTTGGGCCTTGGGGAGACATTCATGAAAGCTTTGCCTCACTTAACCTTGTCCTTTTGTTTAACTGTGTGCTGGACCTGTGTATGAGACCACTCAATTCCTGACATTACTTTCTCCCTCCCGCCATCCCCACCTCTCTGGTTTCATCTTACCTATAGTATGTCCAGGTGCAGTAACTCCAGTCGCACTCCCATCTGGTGTTGGGTGGAATGGCTGCTGCACTTTGGTTCGGATGATCCTGCCAAAACAAAACAAACAAACATACTAGCTATTAAATCCGTCTCTTTCGGTTTCTTAACCCCCCCCCCCCATCTTAAGCTCATTGGCCATGTTTCAAATTCCGATTAAAAGTCCTCACGAAAATGTGAAAAACGTATTTGAGCGAGCGCTTCTCTTAGCATTCATGTTCTTGAATGCAATTTTGCAAAATATGCATATTCTTTTGAAAACAGTTTCTCCTAATATATGTATTTTTTGCATTTTTTTGTAGTAGTAGAACTGTACAGGATAATTCAGAGAAGTGCAGATTTCAAAAGGTGGCTGTGTTTCAGTTTGCATATTGCTTCTCAAAGTTCAAATTAGCTAAGTTCAAATTAAAATATGCACCTTTTCTCCCCACTCCCATTCTGAACCTGAAGGATGGAGACTGCAAGTGAAAATTCAGGCATGTAGAATGTATGTTTTGAATCATTATTATTATTATTAATTATTATTATTAGTATGAAAATACACTTTGTGTGCCAGTGACCAAGAGCCACTCAGCTCAATGCATTATGGGATTTGGTTTACATCTCACTTCTTAATGAAGTAACTGTTTAGGGCTATAATTTGATTCTTACAAGAGAAAGAAGCGGGTTGGAGTAAACTGCCCTTAAGGATGGTCTAGGAAGTTTAGCAGCAGGTAAAGAATTTTTTTAAAGACATATAGCCTTTGCCATTTTCTATGAGGATCCCTTTTATTGGTGAAAGGATTATCAACATCGGGTGATACTGCAATTAAGTTATACTCAGAGTAGCCCCCCTGACGTTAATGAGCCTAAGTTAGCGCCATTAACTTCAACATACCTACTCTTGAGTAAAATTTAGTTGAATGCCACCCATTGTTCTTAACATCTTCCTTTATATACAGAAACATACAGAGTAATTTAAGCGAAAAGTAAGTCTTGCACCAAGTCTTACAAGATAAATATTGAGATTAGGGATGGACAATAGAACAGGCAGAGGGAAAGAAAAGAAGAGACAAATGTAACAATCTGTGTATGAGTTCAGATGTAGTTATGCTTACATAGGCTCAGGGCCAGCCCTACCATTAGATACAGTGATAATACCCACCTCTGGTGGCAGGTGCTGGGCAACATTAATGGTGTCCCCCATCAGTGTTCCTCCTGAGTCTCTCACATGGCCTATTCTGCACTCACATGTGGCCTTTTGCCCTAAGTTGTGGTAGAGAACACGATCCCCTTCACTACAGTATTGAAATAATATTCAACTAGCCGTTCAGCTGGCTTCTGTATATGGAATGGGAGTGGAGGCGCCATCTTGTATTTTGCTTCAGGCAACAAAATGCCTTGAGAGATGGCTCTGCTTAGACTTCATTATGGTTGGGAAGGTTGATGAAGGCTGCAATCGTAGAGTAGTTACCAGGAATCCCTGGCAAATTCCACTGAACTTGGAAGGGCTTCCTTATGAGTAAACATGCTTAGGGACTGGATGAAGAACAGGCCATGGGCTTTAACAAAGCTTTCAGAATGTCAAGAGTGTTTGTAGCTGGCCAGAAAGGACAAAACTAGACATGAGGCTGGAAAATCCACAGTTTTTAAAAATGGAAAAGCTATTGTGGGGAGGGTGGGTTATGTAATTGGGACTGTGGTGCTGGTAAAAGGGTAAAGGGACCCCTGACCATTAGGTCCAGTCGTGGCCGACTCTGGGGTTGCGGCGCTCATCTCACTTTATTGGCCAAGGGAGCCGGCATACAGCTTCCTGGGTCATGTGGCCAGCATGACCAAGCCGCTTCTGGCGAACCAGAGCAGCGCACGGAAACGCCGTTTACCTTCCCGCCAGAGTGGTACCTATTGATTTACTTGCACTTTGACGTGCTTTCGAACTGCTAGGTTGGCAGGAGCAAGGACCGAGCAACGGGAGCTCACCCCGTCGCTGGGATTCGAACCGCCAACCTTATCGGCAAGTCCTAGGCTCTGTGGTTTGTGGTTAACACACACTCTCTCTCTCTCTCTCTCTCTCTCTCTCTCTCTCTCTTCACACACACACACACACACACACAGAGAGAGAGAGAGAGAGAGAGAATGAGAGATTTCCTAACAAAAAAATCACATGCCCTCCAAAGCAGCAGGGGAAAAAACACAGGTGCCATATTTATTATATATTCTTGCCCGAGGGGGAAATAGGAACTTCAGGGCATGATTTTAATTGGGAAAATAGCATAAAGGAAAACAGTTAACCCTTCGCTCCTTCAGAGTCGCATCCAATCTGATTCAGAGCGCCAGATAGACACCCTGGTAGTTATTACATTTGGAAAAAAACCACACACAGGAGATCTGATGACAAATCTCCCAACAAAGTAAAGGTGGCAGCCCACAGAAGCACAGGCTATCTTACAGCTCTTTCTCCCAAAGGACTGGTGTCCAGGCACTTTACTATATTCTGCCATGGGGCTTGTATCCCAGGGACTGCACAGTCTTGAGAACCAGTCTCTGAGACCCCTTGCATAGTTGTGAATCTGAGTAGTGTCTTCAAGACATAAACAAAACAAAACAAAGTGTATGGTTTGCCTATCTGCTCATGTAAGACTTTCCGTCTTGACAATTCAATACAGTGGTACTTCAGGTTAAGAACTTATTTCGTTCTGGAGGTCCGTTCTTAACCTGAAACTGTTCTTAACCTGAGGTACCACTTTAGCTAATGGGGCCTCCCGCTGCCCCGCTGCTGCACAATTTCTGTTCTCATCCTGAAGCAAAGTTCTTAACCCGAGGTACTATTTCTGGGTTAGAGGAGTCTGTAACCTGAAGTGTCTGTAACCCAAGGTACCACTGTACTCATGACAATTCAACTCTAGAGCTCCTATTCCAGAGAGGAGAAAGGAAAGTCTCCCTCTTCCTGCCTCCACATTTCCAAGTCTAAAGTACGAGATTGGTTGCACTATCTTCAGATAAACGAGGTATTCAAACAGGACAGGAAAATAGGTTTTCAGATGGAGAGGTCGAAATTAGAAACAGAATTGTTAGAACCCAATACTAAGAACTTGTCAAGAATGTATAATTTGCTGCTGAAATGGAACACACAAGATGAAACAGTAAAATCAGCTATGATTAAATGGGCACAAGACATAGGCCATAACATTATGTTTGAAGACTGGGAAAGGTTGTGGAATACTGGTATCAGGTTTACGGCCTGTAACGTTTTGAGAGAAAATATAATGAAAATGATTTATAGATGGTATATGACCCCAGTCAAACTTGCAAAAATTTACCACTTGCCCAATAATAAATGTTGGAAATGTAATGAAACTGAAGGTACCTTCTATCACCTTTGGTGGACCTGCCTGAGGATTAAGGCCTACTGGGAAATGATCTATAATGAAATCAAAAAGGTCCTTAAATGGACATTTCCTAAAAAACCAGAGGCTTTTCTCCTGGGCATGGTGGGCCAATGGGTGTCAAGGAAGGACAGAACTTTTTTTATGTATGCCACCACAGCAGCAAGGATTCTTCTGGCAAAGTATTGGAAGACGCAGCAGCTACCCACTCTGGAAGAATGGCAAGTGAAGGTGATCGACTACATGGGAATGGCTGAGATGACCGGCAGAATCCGTGACCAGGGGAAAGAGACAGTGGAAGAAGATTGGAAGAAATTTAAAGTATATCTTAAAAACTGTTGTAAAATTGAAGAGTGCTGAGATGTTATGGTGTTAAGAAATAGAGAATTGCAGCTGTATATCATAAATTTAAAGGAGCTATAATGAAGATGAATTAATAATGAAATGAAGGGTTGCTGTTAAAAGGGAAAAATAAGGATGCAGAAAAAGGGAGGTATGGGGAAGTCCGGGAAACAAGGTGAAGGAGAATGAGTTTATGAAATTGTACATGTTTATTTGTGTGTATGTTTTGTTGTGTTTTGTTGTTTGTTTATACTATATGTTTGGAAAATTAATAAAAAAAAAAATAAATAATATTTTCTCATTAGCTGCCACCGGAATACATAATTCTGATCGGATCAGGAAAGAGTGCGACTTTGGTGCCAGAAGTGAAACTTGCAGCTTTGTGCCACCATGAAGGAAGTGGACAAAAAAATGATCCAAGTTGTGCAGGCTGACAAGGTCAACAGAGCTCCCTGACCCAGTAATACAGAGATGGTTTAACCTCTTTGTTGAACATAGATCTTGTAGACATTGTACATTTTCTCAACACTTAAGAGTTCTGCTGTGTGGGATTAGGCTTCACAGGAAGCAAAAAGAGAGAGAAAAGCGGACTTTAGGGGGAAATGTGAAACAAATAGAATAGTATCGTGCTGGGGCTCTGGCAGACACAGACCCTCAAAGTGTCCCTATTTTCCAGGGATAGTCCCAGATTTACAGAAGCCATCCTGGTTTCTGATTTGATCTCCGAATGTCACGCTTTTCCTTAGGATGTCCCTATTTTCATGGGAGAAATGTTGGGGGGTATGGAGTTATGAGACCCCCGTGCCAAGGAGATAAGTAACTGTACAACCTTTAGAAGACATCCTCTATAGAGAAGGTGTTTTTTATGTTCAATGTTCTGTTTTGTTTTTATATATGTTGGAAGCTCCCAAAAGGGCAACCCAGTCAGATGGGTGGGGTAAAAATTGATAATAATAATAATAAGAAGAAGAAGAAGAAGAAGAGAAGAAGAAGAAGGCATCCCTACTTTCATCAGAGAAATGTTGGAGGGTGTGGGACTGTAGAAAGGCTCAGTCCTTAAGAACAATGCTTTATATGTTCTAGATGCTAAAACTACATGGTAGAAAAGTTGACAATGAGCACACAGAACAACAACAAAAGACATTTAGAAGACTTAAGGGGGAAAGACAGCATATGCAAGAGCCTTTACATAATGAAAGACACAATATATAGGCTTCAATATATACAATGTTGTTGTTGATCCTGGAAGTCTCCTACACGAGCTGCGTGAATTTAGAGTATTTTGTATGATAGCAGAAAACAGACACAGCAAGCTTATCAGAAAATAGGTAGAACACCATAAT